CTACATGGACCCTTTGGGCAGGGTCCCTTTGTAGTCCTTACAGTTCCAGCGCATCCCCCTGGGCCCTCCGAAAACCCAACGGATTTGTCCTTCTATCTGCTCTACATCTTTATACATCTCCCTAGACATCCCTAAATGAGCATTAAGGTCTAAACTCCTAGTATACCCTTCAATAACCTTTATAGTCCTCCCCTATGTTGTCCTCTATATGCTTCCCTTGAGGACTTTAGACTACAGCTCATATTTGTCATTATGTATCCTTCTAGCCTCTTTTAAGGGAGCTCGCTTCTCCCCTAAGCCCTAAGCCCTCCAGCCTCTTTAAAAGGGAGCTCTCTTGGGAGCCTCGCCACTAAATGTCAGCGAAGGCCTCGGCGTCTTCCTCCGGCCCAGTCTTCCAAGGAGGAACAAACATCCTGGAGCTCTGACACGCTTTTAGGGATCAGGGCTCGGGTTTAGGGTTTAGGGTTCAGCGTTTAGGGTTTAGGGTCTAGGGGTTTCAAGGTTGTACTCCTAGGATGGTACCCCTGGGTTTGGGGACCCGTTTAAGGAACGGTAGGGGAATACATAGGTTCCTATGAGGGCTATATTTCGGGTACAGCCCAGAAACTCTGACTGATCCTGGCAGGCGCGGATTAATTAGGGTTTAGGGCATACAGGGGGGGATGGGGGAGTGAGAATGCAAGCAGCATACTAAGATTGGCCCTAAACCCAGAACTAAAACCCTAAACCCTAAATAGTAGTTTTCCATTTTCTTTTCCATTATCTGAACCTGGTCCAAACCCGTGGCTTTTGGAGTTACCCTAGAAGCCCGGGTACCCATATAGTAGGTCCTTGGGTGACAGATAGTATAAAATTATATAGGGACTTAAGGACAGGAACCCAATATATAGGTAACTGGGCTTCTAGGGTTATATATTGCAGCCTCAACCCTTAATTGCGATAATTTAGGGATAGATAGGCCGAAGTAAGGCCAAGTAAGAAGGACCCTAAACCCTGAGGCTATGTGGGAACCTACGCGGTGGTATGGGGGTTATGTCGAATCCTGACGATTTCTCCTAGTCTCAATCTGAAACCCTAAGCCCTCAACCGCAATCCGAAACTAGAAGCCTTAGATCCAAAACCCTAAGCCCTAAACCCTGAACCCCAGACCCCAAACCCTAAACCCAAAACCCTAAAACTTATTCAGATTTCCGTGTCTGCCGGAAATGCATATGTCGAGTCCTAGTCGCACCGGCCTCTGGCGCTCCTGCAAGTTCTGGTTCACAGCTTTGGGTTTAGGGTTCTAGGGTTCTGGGGTCATATCGGGGTTATATTGGGATAATGGAAAAGAAACTGGAAAACTACTATTTAGAGTTTAGGGTTTTAGGGTTCTGGGTTTAGGGTTTGGGATTTACGGATTTAGGCTTTAGGGTTAAGAATCAGCATTAAGATTTAAGCTTCAGGATTTAGGGTGTTGACTTTAGAATTTAGGGGTAAGCTGGGCAAAATAGAGGTACCGTTCCCGACATGACCCGAAACCATGGTTTTGGATAGATAATTGCCCTCAATGGCCTAATGGCTTTGGTTCAGGATAAGGAGTTGCATCAATTTGGCCAGCATGCGGTATGTAGGGAATACAATACGTAGTCATTAATCGTCTTCCTTCACAGGTTATATGTGTTGTCTTTGGTCTTGCTGCGCTCCACTTTTCAGACAATTGGGATGTATTCTGACGGTTTGGGCCATGACTATTATGTTGTTCGTGTGGCTGGAACTGCATGACCACCATGGGCTATTAGACGTCAAGGGTACCTTAATCTACCCTTAATAGGGTCCTAATAGGGAATCTTAGGGTCTAATAGCCCATAGTGGGACGTTCATCAAATTATTGCGCCTGTTGGGAATTTTAGGGCCTCAGTTGAGACTAGCGCAGGGGGCCTGTTTTTGTGCGATTGGAAGCCTGGAGAGCCCAAACCCCTACACCCACAAGATCTAGGAGGGTTTTGGGTTTTCACGGTTTAGGGTTTCAGGGTTTGGGGTTTTAGGGTTTAGGTTTTAGGATTTTAGTGTGTAGGGTTTTAGGGTCGGTTGATGGGCAAAATTCTGAATGACTCTAGACTATAGCATCAGAATCCCTCGGTTTGAGGTATGTGGGGTCATTCAGGACTTTGTGCATCACCAGTACCCTTGCCCTAAGCATCAAAATCACCTAAAAGCCTCATATAGTATGGTCTTTGGGCCCAAATTCCTTCACATATGAATCCTTAGATGCCTAGGGTAAATCCTGAATGGAAAATCCTGAACAGGTGGCTCCCTTAAGATCCAGGCAGGGTTTAGGGAAAACGCAACCCAAACCCTAACCCTAAGCATCTAAGGATTCATATTTGAACTTCCTGGACCCAAAGACCATACTATAATAAGGCTTTTGGGCGATTTTGATTCTTAGGGTATAGGGTTTAGGGTTTAGGGTTGTAGAGTGGATTCCGTAAGTGGGCCCTCTGGGAATATTATCGTTTCACTGTCGGGCTGCTTTGCCGGTCTTTCAGCCCCATCCGAGAAAACGAGACCCGGAAACCCTAAACCTCATCTAGCCAATGGAAGAACTTGAAACTATTAGGCCTTCCACCCTAAACCCTAAACCCCTAAACCCTAAACCCGGCCTTCCTTATTTGGTCTTTATAGTAAAGTTTGAACTTGTTTGGCCCTGGTTATTGGGGAAGAGAGAAACTCTATACCTACGTGGAGGGTTAGGGGGACTTAGTAAGGGGGTTATAAATTTTAGGGTTTAGGGTTTAGGGTTTAGGGGATAACTAGGTGTTTTTATATGGGCTATAGGGATTCTTAACCTACTTACTAAGTCTTCCTGGCCCTCCAAGTACACCCTAAAGTGTAACCCTAAACCCTGACCCCTAAACCCTCAAGCCCATATAGACTTACCATTACTTGGGGTACACAAATTTCATGAATTTCAAAAACTTCAAAGCTTCAAAACCAAAATGGCCCCCCCAAACCCTAAGTCATGGTAATAAACCCTGTGAGCCTAAACTCCAACCCCTTCACTCTACCCCTTGGACCTCCAAGCCCAAACCTTACACCGCGGACCATATATCTGAACCTTTATAAGCCGGAATCTCCAGCCCTTAGCGGCTGAACCCTACGACCCTAATAAACGCGGTTTACTCATGTAGCCAATGGAAGAACTTGAAGCTTTTAGGCCTTCCTCATTTGGTCTTTGTGTTAAAGTTTGAACTTTTTGGCCCTGGTTATTGGGGAAGAGAGTTTAAGGTTTAGGGCGTAATTAGGGTTTAGAGATCTCAATCCGGAGAAATCAAGTGGAACTCCTAGTTGAAGGTTTATGAGTAGAAACACAGAATCTTACGAGTGCCCTGAATCAGGCTATAAATATCTATACCCTATACCGCCTATACCCTAAACCCTTAATCGGGCTTAGCCGCCCTACCATCAATCCTAAAAACTAAGCCCATAAACTTCGAATGTAGATGCATGATTAAAAACCGACCTCCATTTGCGGGCTTAGGATTTAGGGTTTAGGCTTCAGGGTCCCTCCTCTCAAGTGCCTTAATATATTAGGATCCCTATTATAAGCCCTATTACGGGCAGGGGGGTTATGAATCGGGAGTCTGGCTTAAACCCCAAACCCCAAAACCTAACCCCAAACCAGGGTTGAGGGTTATAGGGTTTACTTTATGTTTATGACTTCCCCTATTGGTGTGTGAGGGAAACTAGTCAAAGATAATATAGGGCGGAAGCCTTCAACGTATCACCCTACAATCCCTAAACCCTGAACAGTAGTTTCCATGTTCTTCTCCATTATCATTATCTTTATATAATGATATAGCCCGCATATAACCCCTATATAAACCCCTAAACCTTAAACCCTATGCCCGTAAACCCTAAAGGCTACCTTGTTGTGACAATCGCAGAGCCGAGACGCTCCGATTTGGGGGTTTAGGACCAGCTGGAGATCCCTCAACCCTGGGGTTTAGGGATTAGGGGTTTAGGGGGTTTAGGGGTTTAGGGTTTAGGGTTTAGGGGGTCTAGGGGGTTTAGGGGGTTTAGGAGTGTAGGGGTTTAGGGGTTTAGGGGTTTAGGGTTTAGGGGTTCATGGGTTTAGGCTTTA